CACGCGCAGTCGCGCGGCCTCGATCCTCCACCGTGGCGCTCGGGACCTGCCGGGTTTCGGGGGCGCTCTCCGTCTGCACCCGAAGGCAAGGCCTCTCCCCGAAGCTCCCAGCGCTGCCGGCGTCCCGCGGGCCTCCTTTCCTGCACTTAGCCCACCGACCGGCTCCTCTCCTCCCTCCTCCCTTCGGAATATAAAAGGAATTCATATAAATAACCGAATCTTCATCTGTTATTGATTTAGCCGTCAATTCAAATTCCGCCGGGAGAGCGTTTAAGCGCAGTTTTAATCTTCAGCAAACCTCCCATTCTCTTAGGCGGAGGGAAACTACAGATGAAAGGAAAACCTCGAGGCAATCCCCCCCGCATCCACTCATTCTTACAGGAAACCTGAGAAATGGACCCAGGAAATGGAGTACGGGCCCCTGAATCTGGAAGTTACAAAAAAGAAGGTGAGGAGAACGACGATGGAGAAGGGAAAACAGGCCCGTTTCGGATGAAAACACCTCTTATGAGAAAAACAGAAAATGTTAGTAATTCTCCCCAAAGTGGAAGGTCGGGCATGTTGTGGCCCCATTTTCAGGGGTTCTTTCTTCTCCAGAGATTGAATCGTGGTCCCTTTTCCTTCTCCGCTTCTCCCACCTCCTCCTCCTTCAGTGTGTGTGTGTGTGTGTGTGTGTGTGTGTGTGTGTGAGAGAGAGAGAGAGAGAGAGAGAGAGAGACTCATTTTTTAAACCAGGTTGACCACCCCACAATCAGTTGCAAGATATGAGAGAAATCAAGCAGTGCCAGAGAAAACGAAAGTAGCTTGGAACGTCAGCTCTCTACGCTTTCTCTGGAAGATCCCTAAAGGAGCCCTCCCACCAGAAGAGTTTACATACTGTGTGAGGTTTTAAGCATCTGTATCAAGCTTACATTCCAAAAAGTTAGCAACCACTAAACTGATTGTGCCTGGGTGTTAACAATGAAGAGGCACCCCATTCCTAAAGGACCACTTCCCTGAGAGGCAAAGAGAAAGTTCTCAATGCCTAAAAATTTGGGTCCAGAGGTTTAGGGTGTATAATTATGGTTTCAGTCCTCAACTGCTGTGTGCAGGCAGCCGAGAGAAGGCGATAAGGCAAAAGCTGAAATGTTTCCTTTTCAATGGCCAAATATGGGTATGTCTAATTTCAAGACCTTCCTAGAGTAGATAGATATTTATAACAGCCTTTCTAAGAAGAAAACCTCCAAGTGAGCATGTTTTTCTGTACCCAGGCACATACCTATTGATTTTAAAAATAAAACTGTGTGAATAAACTGATAATGTTCACAGAGAAGTAAAATTTTATTGGAGATGTTTTTGAGGTGGTCTGGTAAAAAAAATATCATTTTAGACACCACAAGTTATATCCTCATTTAAAGTCATCACTGTTTATGTTAAAGCCATGGGAAGTGGGAGGAGTGGCAGAAGTGGGGAGGAGGGGGTTTCCAGAGATGGTGTTGAGTGTTCATCACCCATAGGAAACATCATAGTGTTTTGGATAACAAAATTTTATAATAAATAAGAATAGTTTCTAGAGGCAACATAACCTTAGGAAAGAAAACAAATGTATAAAGACTCAGAGGAAATAAGAGTTCTGTTTATTTGCATCTCCCTAGGAGTAAAAAGTGATATTTAAATGCCTGAAGCACTGCTCATGTATCCCAGCTCACAGACATTTCATCTACAAAAATAATCTCTCAGTCACATAAATATGCAGCACTTTAAAAGTAGTTATCACTTTCAGAAACATCTTTTTTTCTTCTTCTTCTTGAACCTTAGAGCTCCACAATTTTTGCATTTGTTAGATGTTTTATAGCTCTGAGAGAGGCACAATACATTTGTTCAGATAGTCAAATTCTTCAGTGGGTTCTGGGTAAAAATTCCCAATCATGGTCATATTAATTTAGCCTTTTTTTTCCTGGGGATGGAGGAGATGGCCTCAATTCTAGTCCCATAGACTGGAAGCCAAGGAGAGGGTTGCATTTAGGTCATCCACATTTAGATACCTCTGACAATTGCAGCCATTGAAATATTTGCATCTAGAGCTGGAGTAATAAAGGCATCCACGAGGACACATTATTTTCAAATTAAAGATTATCAAAGCACATGTCTACAAGGTGTATTAAACACATACAACTACAACAGCAAGTGAAAGACCCCAAGTCGAATAGATTGTCTTCATCCCAATATCAATACAAACTCTATTTAATAAGGTGGCTTTTAAAGCCATCACAGTACCTCCAGCCTCCTCTCTTTAGACATTCCCAGTGACCCTAGAGCACTGCCTGCCTAGAGCTGTTTTCACTTGCTTCAAGGCAACTGCTGAGAGGTAATTATTCAATTACCCAGTCACAGGATATGAATGACTACAAACTTTTTGCCCGGATGGATTATGAAGATAATCAGTGCTGGAAACAGGCATTTAAAGTGATTTAAAAAAAATAAATCCCTAAAATCAGAATGGCACTTCTGAAATTCATTGGGGCAGGGAAGGGTATTCAAAAATACTTCAAGTCCTTTATACTGGCCTGGAGGGAGAAACAGAACATTAAAAAGTCATAAAAAACAAACCTAGAAAAGAACAAAATCAATAATAAACAAGTAAGAAACAGAAACAGAACTACAAAGTCAGGTTGGATAGCAAAAAGTTTTAGAGCAAGATAAGGGGAAGAGAGAAAAACAATTCACAAAATGTGCCATTCCTGGCAGGGGGGTGGAGGGAATTAAATACATATTCAAGTCTTTCCAAAGGTCTTTTGGAGACAACGGAAAGCATTTAAACGCTCTGTGGCCAATCTGGCCCACATCAGGAAACAGTATCTTTGAGCTTGGAGACGATTTTCTTGTCTTTCACTCTCCGGTTCTGAAACCAAATGGTCACTTGTCTTTCGGATAGGTTCGTGGCAGCCGAGATCCGCCGCCTCTTGTCCTTGTTAATGAACTTGTTAATGGCATACTCGTTCTCCAGTTCTTTGAGCTGCAGTTTGGTGTAGGGCACCCTCTTCTTCCTCCCACGACGGTAGACACACATGTCTGGCTGATTTAGAGCCACATCCCCTGGTATAAAAAAATAGCACGGGAAAAATTAGACCAGAATATCTACAGCACCTACTTGGGGACTGTGTGTGTGTATGTTTGGAGGGGCTACAGGGACTAAAGAAAGCCGGATATTTTTTTATTATTTACAGACATTATTTACATGTTATTAAAGAAAGATTATTTACACTTCAAAGTGAAGGCCTATTTGATGGATCTTCATGGTTTCTCAAACCGGCATCTTAACAAGCCTGCGATTTTTTTATGGCGTGGTTATTGGGGACGTTCATAAGGACAGTTTCAGCAAATACCGGTTACGCACATACAAACCATACACAGACTTTTTAAAAAAATGCAGGCTGTTTGTCCAGGCTTCAATTTCTTGTGTTCCTGTGTTTGAAACTTGTGAGCTTTAGTGGTTACTCTGGGGCATTCACGTCCTTGAAAAGTAGGGCGCAACTCTGTGACACCTCTTTGGGGAGGGGGAACCGCGGCCCCGACTGAGCAAAGGGCAAGCAAAGACATTCAACTTTAGGAGAGAAAAAAAGGCCTGTATCCGTACATAAAATGAAAAGGGCTGTGAGAGAGTTTAAATCCAAGGAGGAATTTACAGAGTTCACACTAACTGGGTTACCCCTGGTTGGGCAAGGAGGGGCATGCACTCCAAGTCCTTTCTTTTCCTTCTTTCCCTCCCTCCTGTTCTCCCTTCATCCCCCCTGCTCCCCCAGTGTCCTTACCTGGAAAGGATGATTTCCAAAAGTGGGAGCCCTGTGGCTGGTCTTTGGCGCAGTACACCTGGCTGTTCCACCCGTTGGCCAGCGTCCAGGACTGGTAGCCCTCCATGGAGATGTACGCCTCGTGCCGAGGCTCCCCGGAGCCGAAGGTAGACACCATGTCGATGTAGCCAGGCACGTGCTGGTAGGGGCTCGTGTAGCCCTGGTAGAAGGACACCTCCTTGGCTCGCGCCGGCACCTCGTTGGCCGGTACGCTGCCGCTTGCCAGGCCCGACACGTCCATGTACTTCTCCACCGGGAATCCTCCCAGCGAGGAGTGCGGCGACGACTTGAGAGCATTCTGCTGTAAGCCCATACCGTGCGACATGCGGCAGCTGTA